AATACCATTGTAGTGACTAAACTAGATGTGAATGTACCTTTGTTGGAAACATTAGTCTTCAAAGTAAGAAATCTTTCCTGGAGTTGAGGTCCAGGCAGAAGCTCAAGAGATTCTAGAAAAATCTATCATTATCAACAGTGACCTCATCATCTGCTCAGATGGCATCCAGTGACACCAGTTATTACCACTATTGTAGGAATCACATTGAGGAATTCACATCTCATGCCATCCCACCCCTGAAAGAATCTGCCATTCCAAGAGAACCACTCTCCAGACTAGCACGATGAAACAATATTGTCAGTCTCAGGCACTTAAACAGACTTGGGCTTGAGCTCTGTATCAGCTGAAGGAGAAGTGACATAGAGGCTGGGGTATTCAACTAGTTGTTGCGTCATCGAGATCACGTGACAATTCTCACGCTCTCTTGTTTCTGGGACTGTCCCGTATCTTGGCGAGTGGTCTGGTGATTGCTGGAAATGGGGTACGCTGGTGTATAAAAGAGGGGAATGTGATGTGTGTGTGGATAGTGAGTAATTGAACTGCAGTCACAGGGTATCGTTGAAGTTAACGTTCGTTCGCTCGTGATACTGTTTGTTTTAGCGCGGGTATTGAGATTAAGTGTATCGCAGAGTTATATTCGGAAAGAATAAACCAGTTTTATTAAGTAAAGACTTGTGTCGTTAAGATTTCGTCGGAACGAAGTTACGGAAAAATCAATTACCAAACGGAGACGTAACAACATGATACCCACTAAACCCCTAGTACAAAACACACTATGAGCCCAATGATCTAATCTAAAATAACAAACCGATCGACTTATCTAGTAAGAGATACCAGATCTAGCGACGCTTTCAAAACGTGGGTATCAGGGGCAAGTATTAAAACTTACCACCAGGGTAACGATCAGGTGTTCTATAAACAAATAAAGAAATTCACACACAACACCTTAACCCATAAACACTGCTGTCTGAGATGGGGTTCTGAGGGATGACAGATCCATTTCCCAAATACCTTTCCCTTTGTAATACATCGTACTATCTACACCTATATATCCCTTACGCATATGGTGACGTCGTTTGTACTTTCCTACTCCTAATTTCAGTTTTGCAGCGTTTAATGAAGTTTAAAAAGCTTTCCTTGCACGCACACACGTGACTCTTATAATTATATAGATATTCACCCCTATGCGTATGTTCTTAGGCCTGCGATGTCTCTAGTTATTAAAATCAGTTTGTTTCTAGATTTCTGTCCAAAGTTTCGTGTAAGTAGATTGATATGTTTGAAGGATTGGTCCTTTAAAAACATTGTTATGTTTTCTACTGTATGTTGCAGCTACAGTTACAAGTTTTATATACTCAAAACGATCTGTTTGAAATTCGACAGTTCTCAGAGAGTTAGTTATTTTTCAATGTACATGGTAAAACGTTTATAAAAAAAGAGCAATATGTTTTATCAAATGTAAAAAATAAGAGCAAAGAAATGTGTATAGTGAAACAAGCTAGGGATCTGAAAAATTAATTTGTAAAGAATAAACAATGCTATGTAATCCTGCTAACTTATAAAATATTCGCCTTTGTAAGTATTTTCCCTGAAGATCACAATACAAATAATAATGTATTACTATTCTAGCATTGAGAAGTTTAGAAAAACCTCATGCGAAAAGTAAGGTTATTTAGAATAAGAGACTAAATCACTTCTGATATCTAACAGTCTGGAATTCTACGCACAGATCTTACTTTTTCTATATCCAGAGGGAGCTCCATTGACTCTTGGGTTAGTTCCGTCAGTGTCGCAGTTCTGAGCAGCGCCATTACCATCTTTGTTTGGTGTTTTCAGAGATGAGAGTTGCTTGTTGCGAGGTCGATCTTGGTTTCTGATGAGAACCAGTTCAGAGATTGGTAAAAACTTCCCTTGGCCTTTATTATACAAGAAAGGTTCCACAATCTCGCGGATCTTGTTGTCGACCTGGTTTATAAAAAAAAATTTAAAAATGGTTTGTTTGTTTTGAATTTCGCGCAAAGCTACACGAGGGCTATCTGCGCTAGCCGTCCTAATTTAGCAGTGTAAGACTAGAGGGAAGGCAGCTAGTCATCACCACCCACCGCCAACTCTTGGGCTACTCTTTTACCAACGAATAGTGGGATTGACCGTCACATTATAACGCCCCCACGGCTGAAAGGGTGAGCATGTTTGGTGGGACGGGGATGCGAACCCGCGTTATTGGCAATATATATATGGCGAACATAATGTGGTTGAAATGCTATTATACACTCTTCTTTTACTTTAAAAACCCTAAGGGACTAAATAAGAAATGTAGTGCTAAAAATATAATAGGCCTAGTACTAATGTCTTATGACAAGTATAATTAATTATAATTTCTTTGCCAGCATAGAGAAGGCGCTCACACCATAACAGTTATTTAGATATTTGTATTGTTTTTAACATAAACATTAAAAATAAACTTAGGAAAGAAGGGGTTGAAATGAACTGCTTTGTTTATGTTGATATGCTTCGTTTCGATTGTAAAAATATATTTTTGTACATAGGATTTCTCCGATATGTCAGCGGTAAGTTTATGGACTAACATCTGGGTCTCGTTCCCGCGCTAAATAGTGTTGCGTCAACGAGTCACATGACTAGTGTGACGCCACGTTTCTAGAACTATCTCGTACCTTGGCGAATGCTCTAGTATTTACTAGATATAGGGTAGGCTGGAATATAAAAGAGGGTGACAACGTGACGGGAGAATAATGTAATAGTGTGTGTGTGTAGACAGTGAGTAATTGAACTGC